GGAATGGGATGGGGCAGCAAGGACAGGATGGGGCAGTGAGGATGGGATGGGGCAGCGGGAATGGGATGGGGCAGCGAGGATGGGACTGCAAGCCCCTCGTTCCTGCTCCGGCAGTCACCAAATCAGCACATCTCACTTGCATTGAGGTCTGGCACTTTCTGAGAGGAGCAAACAGAGCTGTGTCTCCCGTTTCAGTGGGACCTGGAATCCTCTAATTTGAGTCAAAAAAAGAACATCGTGATTTTGATATTTATTTTTTTTAGTTTCCATTTTCATATCATCAGCTACAGTGGCTCCTCCCCACAGAGAAACCACCTCTGTCATCATCCACACTCTTTATCACAGGGAAAACATAACATTAAAATGTGTAGGGAGAAAAGGGGAGCATGGAGGGGACTTCAGTCCTATCAGAAATTAAGGAGAAATAATTTCAGCCTGGGGCAGGATACTGATCCCCCACACTGGCCTGCACAGAGCAATCACGCGGGGAAAAGCACAAGCAAATCTTGTTTTGCATCAATAAGCATAAAATAATTAGCTTATGTATTTCCAAACAATTTCACCGGGTTTAAATAACTGTAAAAAAGATTATCCAAACCCCCATGATTTCAGGGCAGGAGACAGCTCCACATATGAATGCTGACACTTTGCCAGCGTGGGCTGGGGATGACACCGAGCGCAACTGAGCTGGTCCTGGGGGTCTGGGCTGAGCCAGGGCAAACCCCATTCAGAGCCAAAACATGTTCCAAATTTCCCTCTCGAAGCCCGAGTTTCTCTGCTTGCCTGCCAAAGAACAACGCTACACCTCACCCGCCATCCCCCCTGCCAATAAACATATGCTTTTTTTTTTTTTCTTACTGACCCTGTTTTAAAGTGGCTTGAGCAACAAAGTCCAGCACAGAGCTCACACAATCCCTCTTTGTCCCGTGCTCATTTACAGACAAGCAGATTGGTGGCTGCAGGAGGGAGTTTCTTCTCCCAGATATCATTTATAGCACAATCACAGGCAAAACGCTGAAGCACTCAGCACTAGTTACGTCCCTGCTAACTTGGTATTTTACTTTCCCACCATCTATTCCAGGATGAAGGTTCATTTTCTCACTGCTGTGTGAAACAGCAAACATCCGTATATGCAGAGTTACCCTTCAGCACAAGAACAAGGGCAAGAGCAGGAGATGCAGCAGGGAGAGACACGATGCCCAGCGTAGCATGATAAGAAAAAGCACACAGAACTGTTTATGTCTTCACACATTTGAAAAATACACTTAGTTGGGTTGTTTGGATTTTTGTTGTGTTTTTTTTTTTTTTCTCCCCACAGCATTTACCTCAAACAGCTGCAAAAAGTGAGGGAAGTAATTTGAAAATCACTCCAGGAAGTTTGTTACCAAGAAGACAAAACACATCTAAGGATATTAGTTTTTCCTCTACTACGAGATCCTTGGGAACAACAACAAAAAAATCATGGAAAACAGACAATTTGACTTAAATTAGTAACAATTAAACAAGACAACCACATTAAAAGTCTGCTCCTATTCATTTTGATAAGATTTCAATAGTTGTATGAGGCCTTACCATAGCAGAAGCTCTCAGCTTTCTATCTTAGAAATTTATTAAATACGATAGAAAAGCACAAAGGAGATTGAAAAACAGTGTAGAAAGCAGAAACCTCCCTAGGATGGGTGTTACCTTATCCAGAAAGTGCCAGGCAAGTGCAGCGACAGGGAGCTTCTCCCCAAGCTCAGAAGCAGCTCTCCTGCATTAATCCCCAAAGCCCAGAAGATGGAGCAAACCTTCAGCCCTTACAGTGTTTCCTACAAACGTTTTGGGACCCGGACAGGCCACGGTGGCGCCTTCTCACACACCCAGGAGCTGTGCAGCCTTGCTGGGTACAAAACATTGCTGTGACGTTGCTCACATTTCAGCCGAACAGATCCAAGATCATAAATGAAAAAAGCAGCAGAAACTTGCCAGGGCTACATCACGTATTAAGTCACCTTGGCCAGCAAGTTCCACGTGTATACCTGGGTGAATTTTAAAGATCTGTGTCTATCAAAGATCTGCCTGTGCTTGGGAAGGGGACTCCTGGTCTGAGCCTCATTCCTCCCCGGTTCCTGCGCTGGGGAAGGTCAGACACTGGGGCTCGCAGCAGCTCCCACGGGAGTTTGTCCTCCCACATCTCCAAGTGTTTCTGTTCAAAACAGCAGACAAAAAGCAGGCACCAATTAAAACCATCAGGCATTGCTTATTTTAGCACAGTGCCCTAATGTCTTTTTAAGGATTCCTGGCAAGGATTGTTTTTTCTTCTTCATCCATCAACTAAAAAGCACTTAGAAATGCTCCATTACGTATGGTTTTATGTGGGTTTTTATTTCCCCTCCACACTCATCACGCCAGCAGTACGTTCTACCTTCTAGAGAGATGTTTGTGAGAGACTGTACAATTGATCCCTGAGGGTGTTTTATATTGGTGTTTCACGTTGTTCACCTCTTGCCTTTGTTCTGGATCATACTAAACCAGAATTTCTAAGTGTTTCTTCAAACTGGAAGGGGCAGGAAGGGTTTCAGAGGAGTACAGAAGGTAGGAAGGCACTCACTGCTGCTCAGTCACTAGGTGGCCTCATTAATCCTGGCGAGGAAGGGCTGTGGTTAAACAGCAGAGAACACAGGTAGGAATTCAAACAAAGCACAGGTAATATCGCATTTGTTCACAGCTGCAATGCACAATATTCAAAGTGTCTTTATTCCTTCTTCAGCTCCATTATACGGACCTGGTCTCTGTGAACAGTCACATACACGCATCAAAACATCGTTGCAGAAGCGCAGAGCAATGAAGAAAGCCGAGGTCTGCAAAAGGCAAAGTTAAGGGTCCTGGGGAACAACTGGCAAGAACCTGGCATTGCACAAGCCTTGTAGCATCACCAGCTCCCTTGCTGGTGATGGGCAGGAGGTCCCACGAGAGGGTTGTGCCCTCCCTGTCCTTCCCCGTGCCACCCAAGGCTGACCCCAGCCCTTTGCTACCTACCCCAGGCAACACCTGAGCAAAGTTGAATCTTCTTTTCTCTTCTCAGTCTCCTCCTTCACTCTGCATCTCCACCCTTCATAAAAGCTTCTAAGAGCACAGCTCTTGCAGGGCCAGGAATGCGGAGAACACAGGAAGGGTTACAAGTGCTGCACTTGCCATGTTGCTGCTCTTTTAGCAATTTTTTTCAGATTTCCAGCTCCTCTGCAGCTTAGCTCTCGCTTACTGGAAGCTGCAATCAACCTGTGAACTCTGGCCCTTGAGGTGTGGTGCCCAATATCCCCAAGTATAGCGACCCATCCTCCACCCAAACCCACCACAAATTCCCATCTTCTTGATGACATAATCCAAAATGTCCCGGTGCTGTCTGAGCAAGCCGGGCTGAGCTCCAGCATTGTGCCAACACGGATGTGTCGCACCGAGCTAAATCCTGAATGCTAATGGAAAAGCCAATACAACACTCAATGGCTACAGCATTAAAATAAAGGAATGCAAACAATGCTTGAAATGGGGCACAGACCTCGTTACACACCTCATTTCCTTTTTTCAAATGAAAAGCTTTGAAAGCGCTGATAAATAACCGCCAGCCTGTGCCGATACCATTAGTTCTGGGTAAGGTATTTGAGCTGCCTGCTCACAACAACGCTTTATAAGAGCAGTGAGCAGGATTGAATAAATGGAAGAACCTCAAAAACTATTTGGAGAAATGGGAAAGTGTGACAGCGAGGGAGTATTTTCAGTGGGTACGCCTGCAAGTTCTTGTTAATATTTATTACTCCCGGTGATCTAGAAATAAGCATAAATGCTTAATGAGCCCATCTCAGCTCCCTTGGGGCAGCTGTGCTGGAGAAGCCCCTGCAAAGGCACCAAGCCCCACTCCTCCCTCCCCTTGCATCTTCAAAAATTCAGACTTAAAGATGTGTTTTTGAACTGCCCTGGGACAAGCCTCCCCCAGCCAAGACCACCGACCCTCTGCATCCAACCTAACACCACAGGCCAAAAGAAATTAGACCGCAGTGATTTACTCTCTCACACTTTAAAGCCCTGAAACAACACACGCTGAGCATTTCCAAGCACTTGAGCAGAAACAGGAGGAATGCTGAAGTGGTTTTGGTAGCACACTTTTCAGTTTATTGACCTATACAAAATAATAGGTCTAAAAAATTCAGAAGTAGTAAAAGAATAAGCAAAAAGAGCTCTGGCATTTCTAGAAGGCTATACAAATATGCAAAACCAAGGAAATAAGTTATTTTTTCTTTTGTTTTTGTTCGTTTAATTCCAAATCGCGACTCTAATAATACAAACGACTAAGTACCAGCTTAACAAGTGTGTCCTTCTGTATATATTACATGCTCTGGAATATTGGTAGAAAACGTCAAAAAAGTTTATCGGAAACTTTTCTATTCACAATATGAACAAGGAGTAACTAATTCTTTGTATAAAAGAAAAAACGAGCACCATTTGTGGACTCCTGAAGCACAGTACAGCTGAGAAACGAGAGAGATTTTGCCGTCTGCAACCGAGTTGTCGGAAACCATGCAAAAAAGAGAACTCATGCCAATTTGCTCCTACAGATGGATGGCCTGAGGTAGGTTTTATCCCTCTTAGATCAAGACTGCAGTTGCATTTTCTTTCCTACACAAACATTTTCGTGAAAATGCTGTTCTTTCTGTCACTTAGTGACTCTGCAACGCACCTGGCGGTTCGGATGACTCGCGCTACCATCCTAATGCCCCTCACTTTAAGGCACCCACTCGGCTGTTTGCGTTCGCATCCACCTGAAAATACTGGCCCTTACGATCAAATTTGTTCACCCTGCGGTCACCGGAGCTCCCCCGCGGCAGAGCAAAAGGCAACCGTCACCCGGTGAATGGGGGTTGCTGCGCAGCCACCGTGAAAATCTGCCTGCTCCTCCACACAGTGAAGCTGTACCACGGAAAGGTCATGAATTGGGAGGTTATTCGTTACGCTTTATCATGGAAAAAAGAGAGTTCAAAGTTTACTGCTTCTGTTTCCAAAATCCATAACCGCCTATAGTTTTACACGACATATTGTGGCAGAAAATTCTTTTCTTTCCAGAACTTGCTTGTGGTGCTAACAAACACTCCTAACAACACCCCAAAACATGGATAAACGCATTCAAACCTCCACAATAATTGACAAAAAATAATAAAAATCGATCCTTCTTTCAAGTAATGTTCCAATACTGACCAAGTCACGCTTTGCCTCACACACACAGCATCTATCCTTCACAAGCTTATGAAAATCCTTCCAGGTCATCATAAGCCATGGCAGAATAAATTTTCATTTCTTCTTCTTTCAGACATCAGAATTGTGCTCCTAGAATTTCTGTTTTTTTCCATAAGTCTCCTTTTCACATTTATTTTTTTCTCCGAGGTTTGCCTTCAACACCTTCCAATCTTCCAAAAAAGTGCTTGCTAAATATAAATACTTCAACCAAGTGCTGCATCTAGTCATAGATTAAACTGTGGCTTGCCCTTGCTCGTGTAGGCTACCTGGATGCAGACAGAAGCGCCACTCACAGTAAGACTTTGCTATTTTTCTACAGTCCCTCTTAATGCTGAATTTAATCTTTCCCAGCAAAACAGCCTGCTTCGTTTTTTTTGTTTGGGTTGGTTTGTTGTTGTGTTTTTTCTTTTTTCTCGTTCAGTTTGGGAAGTTCCACCCGAGATCTGCCTCGGAGTCAACAGCATTTTGTGCAAGGCACCCAAGGGTACGAATGTGGGGCTGCGGGCGGTCTACACGAGCGTCCCGGGCTTTGAGTCCTCGTGCCAGAATAACCTCTGCTCGTCGCCGTGCAGGTCGTCTTCCAAGCGGCTCTCGTCATCGCCACCCAGCTGGCTCGTCTCTGCATACGCTCTGGAAGAGACACACGGCATCAGGGATCAGCGAGAGCCCAGGGTCTTCCCCAGAACCCCAAGTGCTGCACAACCTCACACAAACTCCCTCAGGCTCGAAGGAACGTCGGTTACGGCAAATTCACCCCAGCCTAACTTGGATCCTAACGCAAACTCAGTTTTCGGGCGGCGATTAAGTGAAATGTCATGCAATGGGATCTCCACCGCTCGAGACTGCAGGACGCAGAGTGCTCATTTGCCATAATCACATTAAAACAGGGAAGTAAAGCAGACAAATGATCAGAGGCAATTCAGAATATGGAAAATTAAGAGCTAATGAGCCTCACTCTGATAAAGCTGCCAAATAAGTGGAGTTTTCAAAGGCCAATTATAGGAAATTAAGAAATTAGTAGCAACCGTATTTTTAAACACTGTTACTGTGTATCTTTTAAATCACAGCAACAAAAAAAGCTCATGGTACATAGCTCAGAGACAAGGAAGCTTTTAGATATTTTCTTACACTTCCACTTATTTTAAACCAAACAGAATTAAAAATTCAGTAAACTCAAGCAAGTCAGCCTGGCAGCAGGCGCAAACTGCAGCCCATGAAGCAGGAGGCACAAACGTGGGGCAGTTACTGCCGCTGGCTCCACTTAGCACAAGTCTACTCAAACGTGACAGCGCTTGTAGGGGCAGAGCCATTCCCCAGGGCAGGCGGTCTCTGCCCTCCCTGATAACTGCCAGCATACGATAGCGAGGGAGAATGAGACCAAAACCACCAAGTACACACAGCGAGAGAGCTGCAGGAATTTCTGCAAGGATACAGCAGACCCCGGGCTCCCCGCGCTCCTCGGCAGAGCAGCCACATGCAGGGCAGCTCGGCCAGCTCAGCACAGCTTGCCTGGTTCCCGGGTTGAGCTCTGCCAAGCGAGATGTGCTTCTGAACGTGTCTGAATGCTGGCACACAGATGTGAGGTTGAATAGAGGCGTTTTCCTTACTCTTGGTTTTCCAAAAGTTGACCAGCACAGGCACTTCAGAAACACACAAGGACTGTGTTCTGCTGCGCAGGAGAGACCTCCTGGCACAGGGGGCAAGGGGAACCAGGCTCAGCGGGGGCTCTGCCTGCTCTGAGCATCGCAGCTCCCAGGGAGACTGAGATCTTAGATGGTCCAGCATCAGCCAGAGGAAAAGGCTGTGCAATGAGTTCCTCCTTCACCATGACTGCTTCCCCCTCCCTTGAGTACTGGTGGTACAGCTGATCTTCTCCACACAGAGAAGACTTGGTCTCACAAAGTCAATTTTATAATTACTCTTCATCCAGCCCTTCGAAATCCAGCTGACTTTCTCAGAAGTTTGAACAACCTGTGAAATGTAGGAGGAAGGGCTGAAAATCTCGATATACTCTACTCACCTGCTCTGCAAAGGAAGGTTGCCATAAACATTCCCGTAGCAGCTGGCATAAGAGGAATGAGATAATGTATCGTAGTCTGAAAGTCCCACTGCAAGCGGGTTTCGCCAGTTCCCAGCAGTGTTTGCAGAAGATGCTGAAATTAAAAAAAAAAAAATATTACCGCAAATTAGATCTTTCTTCAGCTAAATCAGCTGAGACAAATGAGACAATTCTCATTAGTGATCTCTGTGGGTTTCTGCTGGACACGCAAGTAGACAATGCAAACACAAAATATGATATTACAAGCCCCGTTGGGAGGAAAGCACTCTGTGGGTGGTATTTTGAATCTCTTTAAAAAGACTTTCTGACCCATTCGGGGATGCTCACTCTACTGTATTTTGAAAGCCATCACAGCATTAACTGCATTCACACGGCACGAAGTTTTGCACATTGCTTCTAGTTGGTAAACGGTCTGAAAACCATATTGCTCTTCGTGCTTATTTGGACCACTGCACTTACAAAGAGTAAAAGGCAGTTTTACCCACAGGAGAAGGCAACAAACAAGTCTTTCTTTCCAAGCACAGAACAAGAAAATCCCATTCAGCTCCTCATCTACTTTTCAGGATAGAGCTTTAGCCTTGCTGCTACTCTGCTGACTTCATTGACGCAGCAGAGGGAGTAGAAGTCAACGCACAGCAAGGACTTACAGAAACACTCAGTACAGAAATCAGACATTACCCGAAGAGAAAGACGACACCCGACTGCTAGGAGAGCACGGCACCTGCAGACCAGCAAAGCCCAAACTCCTTTGAGATCCTCTGTCAGACTCAAAGCCTGCCTGCAGGCTATGACCCTGCTCCTTTTGACTGGAGGCACGCTGGTACCAACCGCGGAGATGCTCTGCGACTAAGGCCTTGTGAATGTTTTTGGTTATGTGCTCCGTTTTAGCAACTTGCTTCCTCGGAAGCCTTAGGGTTGCATACGGGTTGTGCGGTACTCTGTCCACTTCATCCTCGTGGTAAGACCTGAATTCCCTGTAACGGTCATATCCGTAATGTGCCGACGAGCGATAGGAAGGATTGACGCTGTACTGTCCCTCCGTATCGCTCTCATAAACGTATCCTCCATTGTAATAAACATCAGGTTCGGTGTACGTGGAATATCCAGAAATATAGTAACTAGAGGAATGCTGCTCCTGACTTTTGTGGTAGACACCATTGCGGACATCCTTCTGGGCAAGATTTGGCATACTTCCTGAATTTGCAGCAGAAATGTGTTGTTTCTTTGACCGTCTTCGACCCCGGGTCCGGTTGTCGAGCGTCTGAGTAGTGTAGTATGGATTGGGAGTGGGTGTCAGGCAGTAATACTCTGCACTTGACTGGCTGGTGTAGGACGATCCGTCATCGAGGATCTCTGTGCTGCTGCTTCGCTGGGACTTGGAGAGGGTGTGGAGTCTCTGCCAGCAGGTGGGTTTGGGATTCCAAGCTTCCGCTGCGCTGCCGGCAGTGGCGTGAGGAAACATCTGGCCTGAAACAACACAGACGTACGCTGGTTAAAGTCAGCTGCATGCGAACGTACACAGAGTGGGAGAAAGTACGCATGAGCAAGTCAGGCATGCTGCCTTCCCAATCAAAGCACAATACAAACCCGTCTTATCTTTCCACGTAGAATTATCTGCATTGCAAGAAATTCAGCTTGGCTGAATTTTAGATTTGCCACAACAGTAGGAGATATCTCATATAGAAATCTGTCGTGGTGAGCACAGCTCATCTGTGACAGGGAAACCTGTAGCAAAGCTCACAAACTCAAATTTCATAATGATTTATAGGAGGGCTTTCTTAGTTTTTAAGCAGGTAGAGGCCACACAAGTGACCTAGCTAGGAGCCAGAACATAGGAAGATGGGTTTCCTGTGGCTCTGTCTCTCAAGGCTGTACTGCCGCTGCCAATTAAACCATGAGCTCTTGATAACATTGTAAGATTTATAGCATCCCTCCCTCCCCAGCACGGATTCTCAGCTGTCTAATCATACAGGTGAGCTCATGTTGCAGCAATCTTCCCATATTAAGGGCATTAATTGGGATCACTCAGCTCTATCTGGACACTTTTTCAGGAATGCAGCCCACAGCAGATATATCAGCTTCTGAGAAGTTTTTGTGGGGGGACTGCTAGCTGATGAACAACAGAATTTCCTAATACCACTACAAAGGAAATGCAAAATAAATTTTGGCTATTTCACAACTGTTTTACAGAAACTTTTTGAACAAGCATTACTTGCCACAATGCCCTACAGATGCCTACCTGGAAATGACCCCTCTCCTATAGTCCTTTCATCATCAGATGGGCAATACTTGTGTGCCAGCTTCCAGCTCACTCCTAATTTTGCAGACACCCATTTGTGTGTGCTGCTATTTTCCCCATACAGGGTTTGTGCTCACATAAACGCTCTCACTCGCATGTCACAAAGCTGCTGCAGGACTGTGCCAGAAGATGGTGGCTGACATTAACCTCGTGCCTCCAATACCCAGAAAAGACACTTTAAGAGCCTGGCCCTGCTGTAAGAAAAAGCCTCATGGGCAAAGCACCCTTTGCCCTCTTAACACCATTTGCTTTCCTTCTGCTGCTGCCTAAGATAAGCACCACACTTAAAACAAAGCCCCTTACTGTAAGTGGCTGCTGCTGTAGGCATTGCGTGTGAGCACGGGGGTTGTGGGCATGCTTCTCCCACCATGGGGCTGGGGTGGCCGGTCCAGGGTTCGATAAGGGCTGCTGTGAGTCGAAAGCGGGTCCCTGCAATGAAGGAGACAATCCCAGTTAGGTCAAATGCCATCCAAGTTGCAGCAAGACAGAATAAGTGCACCCTAAGCCCTGAAGAAACAAAACGAAAGGCAGAAAAAACAGGTAAAGGCATAACTGGATGCACCTCCCCGTATAAAGAACAGAATTGTTCAACAGGGGGAAAAATGCAACCCCTCCTTGCAGTTCAAGGGAGATCCCCACAGGATGACTGGTAGGAAAAGCTGCTGCCAGAGGACAGAGGTATGAAGCAGAAGAGACAGAGGAGGTGTCAGAGAAGCAAAGGGTTTGGGTTTTAGAACGAGGTGCATCACAGCTAAAAGGTTACATATGGCTATAATTCAACTTCTGAACCTCATGTGGAGTTTTCTGCTTGTCTTGAGGGACAGACGAGAAAAACACAGAGACATGACGCTGTCCAAAACTTTACAACATTTTTAAGCATGCCTTCAACAGCCTGCTCATGCGAGATAGTCTAAGAAATATCAAGATGGGTAGGAATCCTTACTACTGACAACTAGCACCAGGTCAGACCTATACGTCGTGATCAGACAACCATCAGCAGAGCTACTGTTATCAATGTGCTCCATGGAACAGCTGTTCTAGCTCAGAAAGGGCCCAAACCCCATGAATACACAGAGGAACCTCAGCCAGTCGCTGCAGCTGGCACTACTGATGGTAGCTGGTGGAATCCCAGCAACTCTGCTCTTACAAAGATTTCCTTTTGCCCATCAGGACTTAGGCACACTCTGTACACTTTGACAAGGCACCTCCTGAAATACCATCAGGAGGGATGGGTATGGTTTGGTGGTATCTGAGGCCCTGAAGCACAGCTGTCAGGAAAACTACGAGTACAACTACGTGTACACACTTATGCACACTTTTGTTAGTAAATAGCAAATTCAGCTCTCATCACTGGATCCTGTAATTGCAGAGGAGTGTGGAGGCTCTGTTGGACTGCTCGTACTAACAGGAGTCTCAGCAGGGGCAGGAGGGAGCTCGTGCCAGCCAGGCAGAGAGTGCAGCACCAGGGAATGTGCTCTACCTGGAGTGTCTGGTTTCCAAGAGCTGCTCGTTTATGGATGATTTTCTGAGATGAATTCTCTCCACCCCGAGGGACTTTGGTGGAGGAAGTCTTGGAGAAAGCTGCGCAGAGCTGGGTCTCTGTGCTGGCACGGCAAGCGATTCATTGACTGTTGGAAAGGAATATGTACTTTGTTAGCAAAATCCTTGATATTTTTTGCCCTCTACGCAAAGCTGTAGGCCCTAAGCAGAAACACTTTGCACTATAGAGACAACGACAGAAGCTGTGAATCCAGAAAGGCTCTCCCACCCACGCCAAGCTCTCCTCCACGCAGATACAGGACACCGCGGAGGTTCGTCCAGATCTCAGCAGCACCGACTCCTACGGAGATTACACACAGCTTGGGGCTGTGCCAGATCCCAAAGTGGAACTTCCTTGGGAAAACACCTGTTTGCAGCACAGTCCTTCCCAGAGCCTAGCAGGCAAGCTCAGCCGCTGCAAAAGCCAGTTCCTCTCTCTCATCTTCCAGATCTTTACTTGAAAATGACATTTTAAGAATTAGTTTTGAAATACAACCTACAAGGGACTGACTTCAAAAGCGACTGAGTGAGTAAAGACAACTGACAGACACATTTGGCTGAAGGCAACGGGGAAGACGCTGATTTGATCCTTGTTCTCACTGTGCTCAGGGCTCAGCCCAGGTCCCAACAGAGCCAACAGGAAACTCTAACTAACACATATAAATGCAGGACGAGCATCACAGAGAACACGTTCACAAGCCAAAGCCCTGGCTCTACTACTTGTACAAGCAGGAATCAGGTGTAATTCCATTTTAAAGCAACAGGTGGGTTGTACAATCTAAAACTGGGATGAAGTCAGATCAGAACCAGGCTTTAACTGAAAAGTGAGTAATGATTTTGACCATGTTTGTCCCCACATGATGATTATCCAGTTTAAGGGAGAGGCAAGTCAAGTCCTTTCCACCTTGTGGAACAGGGTGTGAATGTGTGTGTCTGTGGGTGTGTGTGTGAAATGAGTAAGGTGAGCAAACACCCATGCAAGATGCAAGCTCACTACGTAACACATAAATGTAAACAGATCGTTAGTATCTGTGACTATTCTACTTTTTTGTAAGTTTTACAGTAGTTGTGAGGACAAGGGCTGGGCACATCATTCCTCCCAGCTCTTAAGTCCTCCAGTCACTCATTCACTCCTGGCCAGGTCCTAGGGATGAAGCATTTGACATCTACAGTGCCCTCAGCTTGCAGGTTGGTCACGTTAAAACCAACTGCCTTTTCTAAAGATGACTCACATCAGCTCACAGAGCAGAAAGTTCCAATAACCAACACCTTATGAGGACAGATACCCCTGATTAAGCTCTTTATTCCTCTGTTATAAATGAGTTTGTCAACGAAAGTCACCAAAATAGGAGGCTAAAGGACATTAAGTCAAAGGAATGTCTCTGAACGAGCACATTTCATAGGAAGAAAAGGATAAGCAACATACCATCATCATACGTGGTTGTATCGGACAGGGAGCTGCTCTCAGATGGAATTATATCATCTGTGAAAGACAACAAGCACTTTAAGCACAGGAGACCCAACATCAATTTCCAAATGTCACATACAGTTTATTTTCTAGAGCTTCAGATCCAGCTGCCACTTGTGAGGCTGCAGTCTGTATCCTTTAGCCCTCAACAGCCTGGAGACGACCCTGCTTTGGAGTATATCATGACCTAGTTGTGCTCATCACGGTTCAGTAAGCTACCTGTGTAATTATCAAAGGAGATTTTTTTTCAGCTGCACCAGGAATCATGCCAAGATTTACAAAGGTAGTTTCCACCCAACTTCCAACAGATCTCACAGGGTGTTTTGGTGCTTCAATGGGAGTCAGGAGCCTACACAGACACATAGATCTTGGCTGCTAGCATCTAATCTCCTTTAGGTATATCTGATATCCCACCAGGTAGGTACAAAATGCCTTTTCAAATTTGGCAATCACCTGTGAATGTTCCACTAACATACAAATTCTGCTTCAATTAAATTAATATCAATCCAAAACAATTCCACTGATTTCAATCGAGCTATTTCAAATTCCAACAATACAGAGAGAAGTAACTGTTGTACAGACATTGCATTTTTTTTCCCTCTTTCTTTTATGTTTTGTTATTTATTTAAAGTGCTTTACTGCACCTGCCTGTCCTCGCTAAGGTTTAGAACAGACCAGCAGCAGCAGAGAAATTGGGCTGGTGATAAAAAACAGTGCAAGAGAGAATTAACCCACAAGAAGAAACTGTTCCTAGGCTGTTTCTGGTAAGACATGGTGCTGGTGGGGTAAAAAGCCCACATGAACCTCCATGCAAGAGGGAGAGGAAGCAACAGGAGGTGATGGTGGCGGCCACTGTGTGCATGACACCCGCTTCCTCCATCACTCATCACAAGCACACGCAACACACGCCGCTCCCTTGCTGTTGTGCTTTGCTGCAAGGTCTGGTTACAAGAACTTGGTAAATAGAGCAGCTTTTCAAAGCCAGCAAAAACCAGGGCTGGCCCCTGCCCTGAGACTTGTCAGACCACTGAGGATGGGTTGCAGCTCTGCTTGCAACCTGACTCTGGGAAAATGTTTCAGTGGAGCTTATTTGCAGGAATTTGACCACTTGGTGGTCTCAAATACAGAACTGGGCCCAGTGCAGGAGGGAAAAAACCTACTGAGGAGAAAAAAACAACAAACAAATCACCAGTCTAAAGCTACGCTGCAGGATTCATGTGGGGTCTGCAATGCTGACACATGGGGCGAACCCTGAATTTAAATCCTACATCTGCGCAATTCCCTGCAAAATTGGAAGAAACTCTTGGCTACAGAGAAAACAGAGGAAAGGGAGAATGGAACACTGGGAGCAGGAGACGGTCCAGTATGTCCTTCACCTCCCATCCCTTGAGGGCTGGGATGAAAATAACTATGGTTGATTCAATAAATCAAGGTTACTGTTTAACACATCACTTCCAACAAGTCATTCCCCAAACTCAGACATGAGTCATCACTCACTGCTCAGTCTTCACCTCGAGCCCCTGAGTACCATCAGCAATGGTGAAAAGGTTACACATAAAATCAGTTACCGAAGCACGTGACAATTCTGCTTCAGGTAAACAAACACACTCAGCAGTGCAAGAGTCAGGAACCGGCAGGGAATGGAGCTAACTTACTGCTAGCTGAGTATTTGCTGCAGGGAGACCCTCCGAAACACGGAGTCTAGTCCCTTCTTGGCTGTGTCCACCTTCCCAGACAGCAAACAAGGATGTTATGTATCAGTGTTGCAAAATGATGGATTAAATGTCTAAGGACTGAATCCTAAAAGTTGATTGTTTGCATAGCAGGACAAAAAAAAACTATCTGCAACAAGACGCTGCCTCACGGGGCTCCCGTGCTCGTGTTGTTACCACACATCACCTGCCCCAGGTAATACAGGAACTCCCACAATTAATATCCAGATTGGTGAGCAACAGACTGGAAAAAACAGATGTTTTCCTCATCTCTGTCAATCGGGAACTAGCTGGGCCACATTAAATAGCGATCATCAACCTTTCAGAGCAAGCGCTTTGTGATGACAGATAGCTCAGTGCTGCCCTGGTTTGTGCTGGCTGAGACTCCACACCGAGCTCTCCAGGGGAACAGGACACTGCAGAGGTTTCCCCAAGAGAAAGGTCTCCTCCAGGGAAAATACATGCTGGCAAGAGGTCTCACGCCAAGGGTCACTAAGAGGGTATCAACATAAACAGCAGAAAGATCTTGTCTTTTCTTTCCTACCTTGTAATTCCCAGGACAGGAAAAAAAACCAACCCAAAAACTCCACTAAATTCCCAAAACAGCATGCCCTCTGGGACAAAGGGGGAAAAAGAAATTGATTAAACATTAACAACTATCCATATATGTTTTCCAAGGAGGGGAGAAATAAAACATGTCCTAAAACTGTTAATCACTATAGGAACTAGAAAAGCCTGCAATACCTATATACCTATGAGCTTTTACTACTTCCAGACTCCTTCAATTGGCTTGGATACTAGCAAGTTTCCAGGCTTTACCCTATGAAACAGCAAGAATCTGACCTCCCTGAGGAATATCACACTTCCAGAATGGAGGGGGGCCAAGAGTATCCGTTTTCAATGTCCTCATTGCTGGCAAATGGATTTAGTAAAAAAATCTGTTTGCCCTTATTTGTGTTCATAAACTCTCGAACTTCGCTTACGTCTTCCTGGGAATCGGTATTTTTTTATATCGAGAAAAGTCTTCAAGGCTTATTTCTTTGATCACACAGAAAAACCCTCACAGGCTCTCCTTGTGCTAGAACTGAGGCACTGCAGAAGGGAGAGATCTCGCACGTGGCAGCTCCGGCATGCAACTGCACTCTACCCTACAAATTCAGACATCCCACCAGTTTTGGCCGAGATGCTCCTGCCAGCCTTTCTAAGTACAGCACCTTCGGTCTGTACATGGCGCTGGAACGGGTCTTCACTTGTTCCTAAAACTGCAGCTTATTCTGCCCCTCAGCCTATAAGCAGTACCCTTATCAGATGCAGCAATTGCATCCCTCTTTTTCTTACTTAACTGCCTTGGAGAAGATACAAATCATATAAAGGAGATGTAAACAAAACTTGTTAAGTGAAGCAGATTACTACTTTTTTTTTTTTCTGTTTTCATCAGACTACGGGGAATTTTCTTGTTTACCTGGTAGAGTAAGAGTTGATTTCTGGGTTGGTTTTTTGCCACACTTGATTCTATACTCATTTATGGAATTTTCTATCTCTTGCAGCTTTTTTACAGCATCACCATACTCCTGCTTTCTTTTCTTCTTCACATTTTTGCAGAGGTCTGGCTCACTGGCAAGTTTCTTGGCTGCCTCCACCAGCTTTTGCTGTATGATAAAATTGCTCTCCAAGTCCTGCAAGGTGGGATCCTGCAAATTTGTTAGATGAGTTATTTGCTTGTATTCTGGGTAGAAATTTTCAGTTAAGGTTATCAAACAGTAGATGTTATTTTCTGTGGTAATGAAGTAAAATCTTGAGCACAAAACACTGAAATACCAAAGTTCATACATAAGAAAATCTCAGCATACAAAACTCTTAGATCTTACTTCTATGATTAGTGTAAGATTATGAGATCTCTTGAGAAAGGTCCAAAGTTCTTGGGCCTGGGTGACATAAAACATGAAGTCGGGTTTAGACAGCTAAACCTTCTGCTCTGAGTACAAGCCTTGAAAACGTCTGTTCAAAATCTCTCTCTACCTTGAAGAAAATAAAAATGGAAATTGATACCACCATGACTACGTAACAGGGAGTTGGAGGCTCTAATTCATTGTTTGTAAACAACTTCTGAGATGCTCAGATGAAAGGCACTGCGCAGTGCCAAGCAACATATTATTAAACCTGGTCAGTAGGATTTTGTTTCAATAGCATCTAAGCGAGTCTATACAAAATCAGCTGGCTGCAGACAAGCATCACACCAGTCCTGTAAGCCAGGGCAGCAAGTCTTTGGTGAAAGACAAATGCGAAGCGCCCAACACCTACTTACTACTTGGATGATAGAGCTTGTTAACATATCTCACAAGGAATGAGGGGGAATGGTATGTGTCCAGAAACTGCACGTATCTGAATTAGCCTATCTCCTAGAGTCAGTCTCTGCCAGCAAAGGTCGTATTAGCTTCTTAAGCAACACAGAGCTTTTACCTAGGCGGAATCTGCATTAAGCCAGAGATAAATCTCCTCCTGCTGTCACCTGTCACACAACTATTTTCACAGAGATTTTGCAAAGGGGACAGCGCACACCCCTGCCACATTCTGGGTCAAACACAATCTCAACATGACACAAATCAATGCTAGAGAAAAGCTCATCACCGTGGGACAGAGCTACGAGCCTGCTCTTCTCCAACTGGCAGTAAACGCCCATTAAAATCCAAGCAGCGTGGCCAAACGGGGGATTTGGGTCAGGGGATTTTAAGGCATTTTGAAAGAGCCAGTTTCATTTCAATGGCAGCATGGCCCAAATAAGGGTGGTACCCATCTAAATTTCCCAGCCTGTGCACGTGACTGTCCCAGCTGCCTCCTCTTAAACAATCAGAGGAGAGCTGGATTATTTACAGGTGGCTTTGGCCACCGGTCTGGCCACCCCACCTCTGCTGCAAAAACAAGCCGCAGCACTCACCTCTTCACTGGGGAGGAGGTTGTCATCCAGCTTGAACGCTGTGCCAACACGTCTTCTGACCTGGGGAGGTTCCTCTCCAGTACTGAGAGGATACTCCTTGGGCATCTTGCCCGTCAGCTCCTGGAAAACAGAGAGGGCTCCACATGAAGGTCCTGAGGGAGAGCAGGGCTCTCACCCACCCTGACCCCAGCTCAAGGTAGAGTTCTCACCGCCTCTCGCAGACAGATTTTCTTCAGCTCCTCAACTTTCTGAAGCAGTTTTTCCTGAAGGATTTTCTCTTTCTTCTTTAGTTCCATAATTTTCTCCTTCTTTTGTTCTTCGCTGACCTCTGAATCCTGAGAGCCTGAAAAACACGCTCTCTGTATCAGAGGATTTGCAGGCAAAAGCCTTTTTTTTTTTTTATGTTCGAGTAAACTGAGATCTCCCCAAAGCAGTCCAACCCAGCAGTCCAGTGAAACAACACATTATTCAAAGTGCAACATCCAGCTCTCGTGTCATCCAGCAAGCAGGCTTTTAGGAAACCTGCCCTGTTTCAAACCCTGAGTGTATATACTTGCATAAGTCCTAAAAACCCAAAATACACATCATTGCATTAGCAACATCTACAATACACTTGGCATTTTGGCTTTGATTTTACTTTCAGGACAGTGACCAAGGATCCCCACTGAGGCTTCACCTTCAGGCACCTACATGTGACACTCAGGATTTTCCCTCCCCTTTTTTCCCCTCCTCCAGCTGAGAGATCTGAAGTCCATTCCAGAGCTGGGCTTTATCTGGAAACATTTATCTTCTCTGGTCATTTTGGAGGAAGCTCAGGGCAATTCAAGTGGTAAACTGATATCAAATTATTCATGGACCAAGAGTATATAGGTGCATATCCACCTAGTATATCTTTTATTTCCTTTATTTAGCTACAAGGGAGCAAACAGCAGATTACACCTTTGATGTTACTGTTTCAGATACATAACTAATACCAACCTTCACATCTGTCATTGTATTTATGTTGTGCTAGTCTTGTTTTCCCTTTTAACATACACAAGTCCCACTGTCCTTCCCCACGTCGCATTTACACCAAGTATTACCTGATGAGATCAAACTGCCGTTGCTGGCCATAATAAGCTGGTTCTTTGCCTCCAAAGTCACTAGCTTGGAAACTTTTGGCGTTCCCATCTCTGTCAGATCCATGGCGATATCATCCAAACTTCTGGCTGAAGGAATTTTTGCCTGAAGGAGTTTTATTTAAAAAAAAAAAAAAAAAGATTAATAGATAATCAAGCCTCATTGAGTTGCCTCTAATTAGCCTCAAAACACAGGGTCACAGGAGATGACATCTCACACCTCATCTCCCACAAAATTAAGGGCTAAAGGAACAGCATCATGCAGGAGCTCGCGCTGTACAGGGCTGTGCTGGCATTCCTCTCCCCCTCTGCCCCCAAATCTCCCAACTCAAAATCTCTCTGCTCTGTTCAAAATGAACACGAGAAGGAGACAAAAGAAAAAGCAGATTAAACATTTGAGACGTGGGAATTACTCCGTGATTACACTTCCATAGACCTTAATTACAGCCAGGCTAAAATGGATCGAATAACAATACCGCTGCTAATAGACTGCTCAAAAAACTGACAAAAATAATTTGTAGTTTTTCTCTGGAGACTAGTTCATCCATGGAAAAACATACACTGAACAATATCCAGGCAAGGCGTTGAAACTTATGCCCACAGTTAAATGCCTTATAACTTACTTTGCTTTGCTTTCTGTCCAAGTAAAACTGGTGTTGACTGATTGCCATCACCCAGATGGACTTGATCAGGGAAGTGTTTGCATACCAGGTTTGTACCACCAGTCCACTTTGACCAAAGGTCCTTCTCGACACCGAAATTCTGAGGAGGTGAAAAGAAACACAATTTCAAGACAAGTCTTTGAGATTTAAAGTCTCAAATGCCTCTTCTCTTTAAAATAAAGTCTGAGTCTAGCCTTGTTGAGATGTGAAAACTCAGGTTTCCTTCTCCCCACCGCCCAGTGCTGCTGCCTTGCCTCCCTCCTAGTCTTCCCTTAATTCAAGGAAAACTTGAAGTCCCTCCTGGCTGAGCTTTGCAACATGGAGCAGTAGTAACTGCTGTGCCTTTTAGCTCAGCAGCACAGCTGTGCCAAGACCAGCAGTCAGGTATCACTACAAACTTATGAACAGTGAGCAGACTGCCATGGCACCCCAAAAGGAATGGTATCAGGCAGGATGGGGGATCTGGAGGGATCAGCAGAGCATCTTGCTGCTCCTCCTGGCCTGGTGGTCCTGTGCCGGGGTGGGAAGGTTGGCAGCGGCAAAAGCAGAAAGGAAGGTGGAGTCAGAAATTGCCCCTGGGCAAAGGCTCTTTCTTCTTGGGAGGGATCTGGAGGGGAAGGCAGCCTGTGGCGGAGCTCCCAGCCCGACCGGCAGCGCTCCTTGGAGCCCCTGAAGGCTCAAGGTCAGAGGAGGGAGCATCGCTGCCAAGGCAGGGCAGGGCAGGAGGCGAGCAGGAAAGTCCTGCGGTCTGTGTGGTCGGGTCTCCTGCTGCACAGGCACGTTACAGCAGTCTCTCAGGCAAGGGTTTTACAAAGTGAGCAAATTTAGCCGTGACAAATTGTCCTCCCTCTGCTCCAAGAACTTCCTCAGTGGACACCAGAGGCAATCTGAGAGAAGGACACCCAGAGCTGTAACACACCGATGGTCGCTCCAGGCTGCTCACTGAACAGGTACCTTCCCTCCGCAACATCACCGCACAACTCGTCCGTCACCCACAGCCCGGATCCAGCCCCGGTCTGCTCCTGTCAGACCCAGGCTGAGCCTCAGTGTCGCAAGGCCCGGAGCGAGCTCAGGTCTGTGGTCACCTCAGGCACCTCCCATCCCCATCCACCAACATGAGGCGATGAATCCCCAGCCCAGGTAAGGATTCATCCTGCTGCTACCGCTGCCTCCTCCAGCCTTACCTGCGGGGATCGTGTACTTCCACAGCAAATTTCTTTTCACGGAAATAGAGATTTTCCAGCTGTTTCCATTGAAATAGCTACAAGAATTGGGAGGAAGAAGCAGAACACCATCACTACAAAAATCACCGGTCTTCTCCCCCCAGGGTTATGTAATTTCAGCAAATTACATACTTTCAGCTATGGCACGGACTGAGTAATAACAATATTCATAACATCAATTAAAATAAGCACATAAATATAAATACACAGGATGCTCCTCAAGTAATTTCACACTCTTAAAGCAATGCACTGCAGATTGAGGATTTTGCATGTGACAACATCTGTTTCCAACAAAAGCACATTTAATTTCACTGCTACAAGTTCACAGAGATCTTGGGAGTGCACAATAAATTATTTTCTTTCTGATTAAATGAAAAAAAACTCTAAACAAAGTGATTGCATAGACACCTACAGTCCCTTCCCTCAGTCAGAACATCTCTAGGGAATGGCAGCAGCTTGGGATAAAAAAAAAAAAGACCTTGCTCTTCTGAAGACACTGGGTGAGAGATTCAACATGTCATTTTGGAGCAGGGGGACAACATGCACGGAGGAACAGCAGCTACAGGAGGGAAGCCACCCTGCAACACCCACTTCTGTAAGAAAATCACATATTTCCTGCAAAGTGCCAGCTAGGAGAAGAGATCAAAGTCAACTAAAGCTTGGCAGCTGCACCCGTGGGATCAGAATTTCACAGGAATCCGCTCTCCCTCTGCACCACCTCCGAAGAGGATCCATGACAGGTTACATCGTCTTAGCCCAGCTTTTGCTGAGCTGTTGTTTCCCACTTCCTCAGCACAGGTTTCTGCAGCATCACCTCCTGCCCCCTCCTGAGCAGTGCCGGGGCATGTGGGTGTGCATGGAGACCCACATGGGTGTCCCCAAGGACGTCCCCTGACGATGATGGGGTGCACGATCGCCGCAGCACACACCGAAGTTCACAGCCGGCTGCTTTCCAGAGCCAGAGCCCACATGGAGGTACCTGAGGTGCTTCCACCCAGGCTGGACAGGCAGGGCCAGCGTTAAGCGGGAGAGATCAACTTGCAACATCCATGATCCAGCTGAGGCACCAACGCCATTACAGTGACCTTCAAGGGTGCAGCCACCACGCCAGATGTCCC